TCTAAATGAGAAAGTTTGAATCCTAGTGCCATTGCTTGGGTGAAGGCAAAGAGACGCTGTAGCGAAAGGCAGCCCTTGTGCTGTCTAGGGATCCAAGGCTCCTAATAACTTCTCGCTTGTCTGCAAACATAAAAGCCAGCTACCATCTGCTGCTAAGCGATATATAATAACCACCCTGTACCTGTGCTGAGAGGTAATTAGTCTGCCCTCTATTGCTTTTTCACATTAAAAAAATAAAAAGTTCAACCACTAGATTGTACCAATGAAAAATACATTTTTTAAAGGGCTCCGAAAAGTCATTTAGTACAGCTGTGTTTCGTGTTGTGAAAAATTTATGGCACAGCACAGTTATGAAAGATGAAAAGATTTTGGATCATAAAATCAAAGTTGAATGTACAGGAACAACATCTATAAGCCACTGAACTCCTATCAGAAACCTCCACCATCCTCCCCGCCCATGAGATGTCATTGTAAACCTCACCTCACTGTAAACAGAGCTCAGCCAGGTGGGCCTAGAGCTCTTTGTTCCTACAAGATACAAACGTTCAGAAATTAAAGGAAGCCAAATCTGAGAGACCATCAAGAAAATAAATGACGTGTGGGTCATACTGAGAATCAATTCAATACACATGAACAAGACTTTCCTTTGGCGGTGTCAGGGCCCTTATTAGTAATGGTGTTTGGGTGGTAAGAGTCTGCTTGAATTCTGTGAGTGACTTGTTTTACCCATAAGGTTGTGCTTCAGGTAGCTTTACATGGCGTTTTTGATTGTATATTAGATTCAGAAATGAAACCACAGAATGATCTGTATCTTGGAGACTGATCTACATCTTCTAATGAAATTAGAGTTGTCCAACAAAAAATATTTTAACAGAGCAAAATTCAAAACTTTTATGATCTGTTTTCCACTTCCAGTGGCAAACCTTTTCTTTCTGAAAAACTCTCAGAAAAGTGCTTATGAACTATTGTATAAAATTGCCTTAAGAATTATTTTTATACACTGTGATGGAGAAAAGGACAAAATTCTCCCTTGAATGAAGGAAAGGAGCTAATGAGAAGAAAAAGGAAAGTGAATTTGTTCCTGTGCACCCTTAGAAAGGCCATGATTAGAATATTGTGTTTAACCTGCCTTTTTATCCTCTGCTTGTGCTCATTAGAATCTGTTTAGTTTTTTCCTATTGAGCTCCTCTGGCCTAAGCACATGGGTTGGAGCTTCTCCATCTAAAGCCATTAACAGCATCGCTAAAACGCAGTTGATATTTTTAGTGCCCAAAACCTCTGCGTGTTCTTGCCTTGCTGAACTTTCTCTACCGCAGGGGCCTTTTGCTTGTTAAAATATTTAACTGTCTGTTAGAATACAGGAGAACTTTTCTGAAGAAATAATGTTGGTTTTAGCTTTCCTTTCAGATATCAGCCGGAGAACTCCATTTGAAATATTTTAAATTTGAAAACTTTAATACAAAGAGTATGAAAAACATGATTTTTTTTTTTTAAAAAAAATATATATATTCAGTATAGGCTATATGAAAACTTTAAAACTTAACTGACAGCTTTATTGTCAGTTAGTTAAAAGGGAGCTGGTGGCAGCCCTGGGAAGAGGGTCTGGGCACTGTCTGTATGTTGAAATGAAACTGAACCGGAGAGAGCATCGGTATTTCCCAGAACCTTTCATGGGGCTTGCTCAATCCCCAGATCAGTAGGGAAGAAGGCAGAATACGGAGAATAAGCTCAGAATTAGGATTTCACCTCAGTTGTTCAGGTTCATGTTTACGATTAACGATTTGCGCAAGCTTAGGTGTCTTAAAGCGCCTCCGTTCGCCTGTGTCCTCCTGCCCCTCTGTGGTAAATGTTGTGTTATTTAATGGTGTGTGTCTAGGAGGCCCACGGTAACAGACCTTGAGCAGTAGGTGCAGGGGATGCTCTACGAGGAGTAAGTTGGTTACATTTCACTTGCTGTATTCCGGTGCCCTGAGAAGAACAAGAGAAGTGAGTGGCATTTTGAGGGGAAAGCATTGGGGAAACACAGCTGGAAATGGAAGAATTTGAGGGGAAAAAAAAAAAAAAGATGAATAAAGATGAGGCAGAAATTGGAATTATTCTACTGTTCTACTAACTATTAGTATCCTATGAGGATATAGGGTGAAGATGTGAGGAGTGAGTGTCAGGAAGTGGTAAGGATCACCAGCAGGACTTTCGGTGAAGATTTTGCCTTATGGATTTTGGGAGAGAGGGAAGACGATAAAAGCAAGGGAGGGAGGAGAGGCACAACTCAGTATATCCTGTTCCTGCTGGGACCATCCTCAAAGAGGGCAGCGTTTCTCTCAAACAATTAGCTTAGATATTATGCTCCAGAGAGAAGGCTAAAGAAGTATTCCAAACCATGTGCTTTCCATGCTCCGGTTGAAAGAACAGGGTGATTTTTATTGTCACGGGTCTCACTCCTCAGTTATTCTGCTGAAATCGGTATATTTGCAATTATATTGTGGACTCCTTATCCTTTTTGTTAGATCTGTAACATTAACTTTCTGATGTATCCCTTATTTTGAAAAGAAAGAGCATGTAGAAGACCCCAAAATATCAATGTTATTCCAAAACATCTCCCATAGCATCTTGGAAAAAAAAAAAAAAGAAATCTCTGGAAATGTGCATTTCTCATACTAAGAATGGAGGACAGGGGAAAAGAAACTAGAAAAAATAAAAAATAGAAAGTATTATTAAAATGACACTGAAAATTACAAAGAATGAACAATATTAATAAAAGATAGCACCTGAAAAATGTGAAACTCAACTTTATTTAACATTTGCTGAAAGCACCAAATCTGCAAGGCACGGGTGAGTTTGATGCTAAGGGCACGTGGAGCACACCTGCCATTCTGCTAGAGCTAGTGGCAGACAAATGGACTTTGGAGCCAGCTTTCATTATTTCTGTCAAAAAGAAGCCATTATAAAATAGACTGGGGAAATGAATGAGATAATTTATCAAGGGAATAAAATACAGATATATCACAAGATGTCTGTTTTGACCCTAGGAGTGAGATGGAGACGGGGGGAAGTGTGAAGGAGAGATCTGCCTCCTCTGCAATTTCCCCTACAGACTCTTTTTTTCATGTGTATTATGGACAATCTCACAATATGAGGGATATCAAACCAGAAAAAATGTGGAAAGGAGGGTTCTAAAAATACTATTTTTCTGGTTATGTGAAAGAAAAGCCAGAAAGCAGCAAGAAGCTCAAACCATCACCTTAAGCTTAAAATTTTAGAGGGAAACACTATTTTACACTATGTGAAAAATTTAGGCAGAGATACAAAGATTCTACTTTGTATTCTTTTAGTGAGCCACCTGTGTAAGAATCTTCTTCCTAATGCTGAGTGGTGCCCAGTTTTCTTTTTCTTGATTCAACAATGAAATATTTGTATATCAATTCCAAGCTCCGTTGACTGATAGTTGTGTAATCCTAGAGTACACAGAACAAGGCAGTTTTTGTCACAAACAGAAAATAGGCAAACATAAACAGAGAAAACATAAAAATATTAAGTGAGTTGATATTGAGGCCAAAAATTGGTATTGAGCAGTGGAATAAATATATTCTGTTGTACCAAGAGTTCTACCACAACTGGAGGAGGAAAAGAAGGAAATAATGAAGGCATAAATAATGCAGAAATAAGGAGGAATTTATGACTGGGGCTTCTGCATTGTGATTTGCCTTCCTAATCAGAAGAAAAAAGAAGCTGTTTTTAAAGAGTTTATCAGCAGGTTGCCTCTATAAGATGGAGGCGGGAGGATGATGTATTTGAGACTGACTAAACTTATTTATTTATTTATGTTTTTTTTTCTGACGGTTATATCCAACTTTTGAGGGAAGCCAGGAGAAATCTCTGTAATCATTCCCATGTGTTTTTGTTCCTATACTCATTGTCAATTAAGAGCACTTTGATTCTAGTGTCTCTGGAGCATCTCACTCAAAACATTACATAAGCATGATACTCTTCATGGGAAATGTGCTAACTGCAGAGATAGTTGAGGGCCTTAAAAACATGAAACATGCTATAAAGACGTTGTTTCCATGTTAAGGTAAGCCAGAAATTACTTTCAAGAAATGTTTGGGGGTTATCTAAGAGTCAAATAGGAATGTACACAGAAATTAGTTGTTTCTGTTGAGAGACATTCATGAGATTTGACTTCAGAAAACAGTCCTCATGGTCGCTGCTGCTTGCTTGTTGCAATTTCCCTAGCATTAGGGAATACTGTGCATCTTGGGATCTGTTTTTTTGTTGTTGCAGTAGACCAATCAGTCATGAATTTGGTAGTCCTGAAATTAACATACTTTGCATCAATCAACTTAGTTTCTACCCCAGGTTTTCCATAGTTTATCCTATAACTTAGAAGGTACCGTCAGCAATGAGGGTGCAAGGTTGTGTTTTGGTAAGCCATTCAACCTACAAGGTATTATAGCAGTTCACTACTAAAGAAAGAAAATAGCTAAGGAGATGGCAGATTCAAAAACTGACTCAGTCCTCAAATGATTGTCTTTCTTTCCATTTCTCTTTTTTTCTTTTTTGTTCTCATTGCAATACAAGTAATATTTGTGTTGAGTGTAAATAAGAAGTAAATATATTGTTTTGGCATTACAGTGAAGTTTTTTGGAAAAGGAATTGACTTTCAAAACTACGCTTACCTCAGTAGGTTCTCCCCCCCCATTTGGAACCTTCTTTTTAAGCTTGGATACCTAAGTTAGATTATTCTCTATATATGGAATTAGCTATGCAGCAACTACTAAGCTTTAGGAGCTTTTAACATGCTCAAATTGGCATTAATAATAAATTTTTTTCTCTTGTCCTCATCACAGATTTATTGCATTATATGCTGCTGGTTTTGTCTGGGGGAACAGAAGTGCGCTGAGAGAAGAGATGACACTTCTGGCAAAGGAGCTCAAATTCTTCCCTGTGTTCTGCTAAGGCTTTCTGAAGTCGCCTATAGAGGAACCACTCTGGAGGCATAATACTTTTAAATTCATTTATGTGACTGCTTATCAGGAGCAGTATTAAGGTAAAGACAATATATGTTGGTGCCGAAGCTTCTGCCTTCACCCCTCTAAAGGCAGGTGCTGCCTCCTGCCCCGTGGGCTGCAGAGCTCTGCGCTGCGCTCTGCACCCCTGGTGCCGAGTACCCGGCCTGGTCCCCCTCCGGGGCACCGTGCTGCTGCCAGAGCAGATCTAAGGACACGGTGAATGTTTCCGAAAGGCTTTTGTAGCAGATGAGCTCGGGAAAGTTCAGGCTGTCTCTTAGTTGCTTCTGCTGGAAGCCACTCTGAAATGGTGCCTCCGGCGGCAGATCCTGCTCTAGGTGCTCCAGGTGACCCTGCGTGTGCAGGGGTTTGGACTAGATGACCTCTGAGGTCCCTTCCAACCTTAAGCATCCTATGATTCTCTGATCCCTCTTCGTTCTGCCAGTGGCCTGAGGATTTTAGGGAACCTTTCTGCTTCTTCAAGCCAGAAAAGAGTCCGAGTTGTCCATTAACCTTTGAGTGTTTGTACAATGATGTGGTAGACCCTTGGAAGTACATTTCTTTCAAAGCAGCAGGAACGCATTAATAACTATAATATTAGCTGAAGAATGGTTCATGCCTTAACTGTGCTGGTACTTATGACCCTGCAGTAATGTGTTTTACTGGAAGTTCTGTTGGGCAAGGTTGGTTTTAAAAGACGTGTGCTACAGGACAAATAATTAAATTAGAAAATACATTATTAATTAAGAGACATATTAACAGACTGGGGGCTAAATTTAATAATGTCTGTGTTGGAATTTAATAACATCCACGTATATTAATGCGGATATTGCATTGAGACATCACAGGACAGTGCTGGAGATCAATATTTGCCTATTCATTTGGGCCGTGATGATAGAGTGAATCCATTAAAAGCCACAGCTACAAATATTTTTAGATGTGGTACAATGTTGTCTGGAAGGTCAAAATGAAATGGATGATATTAAATGAAATTAATATCAACTAGTATTAGCTTGAATCATCTGGACATAAAACAGTCTACATATTGTAAGTGCTAAAATAATCTTTTCCAAGCAGTGAAACATTTGGTATGTAAAAAATGTGCATGCTATACACTGGGTTTTCATTTACAGCAATGAACTTCAGCTTTTATTGAAGCATTTAGAAGAAAGAAAAAAAAAGGACAAGTAATCTGTAGCCTCTTATTGTACAGGAGTGAAGGGAAATGTTAAATAGGCTTCCAGCTTTAGAAAACTTGCTATTAAATATTTCTATTTTAAAATTTAGTTAAATATCAACTGCTTAATGCGTCCTTATTAATAATGAACACTTAAAATGCCTTTTTTTTTTTTTTTTTTTTTTTTTTTTTTTTTTGTAGTTTAGACATTTCTTCCTGATATTCCAAGAATGAATGGTTTAAAAACAGCACTTGCCTTATGGGACTCTATCTTTTCTCTGAATGCATACAGCTGTCTGGCCTTTTTGGGACTAAGTTTCAGCAATTTGTTTTCCTTTTCTTCCTGCTGATGCTCTACTGTCCTTTGATTGTCTTCAGTTACCATGTCTGAGGGATGAGAGGCTCTCTGGTTACCTTTGTGCAGCTATTGAGTTCAGCAGTATTGCAAAGGCATAACTTGGCCGTCGCATATTTTTGCTGTAGTCAGTGTAGGAAAGGAAGAAGAAAGGACCAGATTGATTTAAAGATGTCTAGCTTAGCTGCAGAGATTCAAAGAAAAACTCGGAAAGTCGTCTAGTCCAAATTCCTCTTGAAGGCAAAGCAAGTTTAGCTTTGAAGTAGACTGGGTTGCTCCGAGTCTTCTCTGCTTGAGTTTTGACAGCCTTCAAGGGAGGAGAGTGAACAGCCTCTCTGGGCAGCCTGTTCCAGTGCTTACCCACGCTCACTGTGAAACCATCTCCACTTACACAGTGGTCATGTCCCCTGATTGCGACTTCTGACCATTGTCCCCTGTCTTTTTGCTGTGCAACCCTAAGTCTGTCCTCTCTGTAACTCCCCTCTGGGCACTGGCACACTGCAGGCAGATTCCTGCCTAGCCTTGTCTTTCCTAGCCTGACAAAACCACCGTTCAGCCCCTGTTCGTCTATCACATCATCCAGCGCCCAGATAATCTCAGTGGCCTCTCCCTAGGCTTGCCCTGAACCCTGTCCTCTTCCTCCAGGCGTTAACCACTCCCTCCCATTTGGATCCATCTTTCATTCCATTTTGTTGTTCAGGTTGTTTGGTGTCTTCATAGATAGTAAACAGCATCTGCTCCAGTGTCAGCTCTTGAGGAACACAGACTGCAAGGCCTGGCAGCCCAGTTAGTTCTGCACTGCCCTGTGGTGCTTCCAATCCCTGTCTCCTTAGTTTGGCTGCAGCTGTGCTGTGGAGACAGTTTCGTTAGTCATCTCCATTGCTCTCTCTTGGATCACAGCCAGTCTTTCACTGTAGATGGCAGGTTGGTCCGGCAGGTCCTGACCTTGACCAATCCATACTCACTGTTCTGAGTCAGGTTCTTGTTTTCAAGAAAATGGAGGATTTGCTCTATGAATTTGCAAGGGACTAGATGGTGGTTCTGTGGACATTCCTCCTTACTTTTTTGGAAGATGGATAGGTTTGCCCTCTTCCCATTGTCGGGAGATTCCTTCGACATTTTCATACAGAGCAGCTTCATGGTGATGTCAGACATCTCACATAGCACTGCTTGGAGCGTCCTGTCCCATTTCGCATTTGTCCAGTGTACAAAATTGTCCCTAATAGATTGGAAAGAATGACAGCTGGGAAGGCTGATCTTTTCACTGGCAGGCAGAATATCTTTTCTTAAAACTGACTGGAAGTCAATAGATGAACATTCCTAAATGTAGGACTAGTTAACCATTGAAATAAACCCTCAAGGAAACTGGCTGGTTATCTCATTCTTGAATTCCTCCAAGCAAAACTAGAATCTTTCTGAATTGTTTGTTGTTTGTCTCATCTTATACATGATTCTGATATTTAATTCTTTCTCTTGGTTAGGATCTATGAACATGCCTTTGTAATGGCCTCCTCAGGGAGAGCCAGTCCTAAGCAGTTCCTTTAGCTCTGATTTAATACTAGAAGGAATTGGAAGAGTATGAATACATGAACACAATAGTGGAAATTTATCTAATGGTATACAGAAAGAGAACCAGCAAGTTCCATTTTGAAAGAAGAAAAAAGAATTATTTCATCTCAGAAAGTATGAGATCAAGAGCAAAGTCCTTTAGTTAAAGGGCAGCACAGCCTGAGGGCTGTGCTGCCATCCAGAGGGACCTGGACAGACTGGAGGACTGGGCGGCGAGAAACCTCATGAGGTTCAACAGGGGCAAGTGCAGGGTCCTGCACTTGGGGAGGAATAACCCTGGACACCAGTACAGATTAGGGGTGGACCTGCTGGAGAGCAGTCCCGCAGAGAGGGACCTGGGTGTCATGGTGGACGACAAGTTGACCATGAGGCAGCAGTGTGCCCTGGTGGCCAAGAAGGCCAACGGGATCCTGGGGTGCATTAAGAAAAGCGTCTCCAGCAGGTCGAGGGAAGTGATCGTCCCCCTCTACTCAGCCCTGGTGAGGCCACATCTGGAGTACTGCGTCCAGTTCTGGGCTCCCCAGGACAAGAGGGATGTGGAGCTGCTGGAGAGAGTCCAGCGCAGGGCTACGAGGATGATCAGGGGCCTGGAACATCTGCCCTATGAGCAAAGGCTGAGAGATCTGGGCCTGTTCAGCCTGGAGAAGAGAAGGCTGAGGGGGGACCTGATCAGCGTGTATAAATACCTCAAGGGAGGCAGTGAGGAGGAGGGGGGCGGCCTCTTTTCAGTGGTGGACAGGGATAGGACTAGAGGAAATGGCTTCAAACTGAAGCATCGGAAGTTCCACAGGAACTTAAGGAAGCATTTCTTCACTGTGAGGGTGACAAAGCACTGGAACAGGCTGCCCAGAGAGGTTGTGGAGTCTCCTTCTTTGGAGATCTTTAAAACCCGCTTGGATGCAGCCCTGTGCCCCGTGCTCTAGGTGACCCTGCGTGAGCAGGGGGGTTGGACTCGATGACCTCTGAGGTCCCTTCCAACCTTCGGCATTCTGTGATTCTATGATTCTATGAAACTTGTTATGAGAAATAAATCCTTACATGAAATGTTTCCTATGCTTTTAGTGAACAGATGGGTAGTAATCGATTATGTTTACAATTGGAGCACTAAAGAAAATGTTGTCATTTTTCCCCTGCTAGACATTTATCTATTTAATTCTTTGACAGAACACGAGAAATGTAACTAAACATTTTGTTTTAATTAAAATGAAAGTAAATACATTAGTTGGGAAAACTGTGTTATGTTTACGCTCGGGGAAAAGAGCAAACATATGTGTCTGCCTTATTGTTTGTCACGATCTAGCACGAGGTTATTTCGTCTTGGCCTACAGAGCAAAACGTACTGATAGTCTTCATTTTTATTAATTTTAAATAATTCCAGTGTGAGCAGTAATAAGTAATTGGTACCAAAAAAGCACATCCTGAGAAGCATTCCAATAGTTCTGTTTTGTGTTTGTTTGTTTGGAATATAAATAAATGGCAGCTGGTGACATTTCCTAAGTGGGAGCCTGTTAGTTGGCTGGTAGAATTGCAGTGATTCTCCCAGTGAAAACAAGGCTAGCAAGAACCCCCGCTGTTTCTTGACTGTAGTTTCCAATGCTTACCTGACTATAGGAATACAAGAGGTGCCTCTTACTTGGTGATATCTGGCATCTGTCTCCACTGGCATTTTATAATCAGTAAAAACTTGCAGATTCCCTCCTGTGCTAAACAACAAACCTGGTACCAAGCCTGGTGCCACAGGACAGCAACGTGTACCGTGCCCATAAGGTAGCCCTTCAGCTCGGGAAGGTTCCCATGCGCTTCAGCTTTAGGGCTGCTCTTGAGCAGTGCAATATGCAGGCTTCAAGCTTGTTTTCTCATTTGGCACTTCTAAATGAAAATGCTGTCAATCTAAGCTTTCAGACTTCAGAAGTATCTAAGGAGCTTATCCTTTATTTCTC